TACACGATCGATTTATTTTCTTTCAAGTTATTTTAATTTTTTTTCTTAAAATGAAAGAAATAATTCGTCGAAGCTTTTAGGCGCCGGTGATAATAAAATGAAACGATAATAATTACAATAATAATAACAATAATGACAACAAGTAAGTTGTTGATGATAACAAAAAACAACGAAAAACGTTAAAACATACAACAAAACTGCAAAACGAACGAAAAAAAAAAAAATCCAAAATATTGATAAAAGCAGCAACAGCTATATATGACCAAAGTTATGACAATGAATAAACGACGATTATGTTGGTTGTAGTGATGAAGTTCATGTAAGTTATGCGATGTTATGATGCAACTATGCAAACTGATATAACTTATGATGGTGGTGATGTAAGTTAGTTAAGATGATGAAAGCGCTGGTGATGAGAACCCCAGAAAGGAAGATATGTGAATAATGATGAGCAACATATTTGCTTAAGATAGGAAGAAACAGGACTGCCTCAAAGATAGTTCTCTCTTTAAAAATGGCGATGACATTGAAACTGAAGATGATGATGACGACGATGATAATAATGATGAGTATGTAAGTAAGACATTAAAAGGTAGAAAATGTTGACGATAATGATGATGACGATAATGATGATGATGATTGATGATGATGATGATGATGATGATGATGATGATGAGAATGATGATGCTAATGATGGCGATGATGATGATGGTGGTGGTGATGATGATGATGATGAGAATGATGATGCTAATGATGGCGATGATGATGATGGTGGTGGTGATGATGATGATGATGAGAATGATGATGCTAATGATGGCGATGATGATGATGGTGGTGGTGATGATGATGATGATGATGATGATGATGATGATGATGATGATGATGATGATGATGAGAATGATGATGCTAATGATGATAATAATGATGGCGATGATGATGATGGTGGTGGTGATGAGGATGATGATAGTGGTGATGATGATGATGAGGATGGTGGTGAGCTCAGGGTATAATGACAGCAGTCATGACTGGGATTAATAACTGCCAAATTAAATGATTCGTTGTAAAATATGTTCTAGGTTGACGCATACGAATAAAGAAATGAATCGAGATTGATTGGAGAAATAAATAAATGATTAATCCATATAATAAAAAAAATATTAACGATTTTGAAAAACACATGTTGCAACATCAAATTAACAATGCAACAACCTAAACTTAACACAGACAAACAAAACAAATAAAAACAAACAAGCTAACGGTTCTCACACCAACATACACCTAATCTTAAACATGCAACAACAATAATTTTCAATTGACAAGTAGAAGATAGTTATATATTTTTAAAAGATACTCTTATGATACTCGGAAGATATTTGAAAAATATGTTGATAGTACTTTAATATCACTTTGATGATACATTGGTGATACATAGATACTTCAATGATATTTCGTAGAAACTTTCATGATACTTACCTGACACATTGTTGATGCTAAAACAATTCTTTAATGATACTGAGACGATATTTTTTTCAAATGTTTTAGAATATGCTTAGAAGAAACGTTAAAAAACTTTAATGATACCCAAAAGATAATTTTTATTCATTTAAGTTTTCAACTAAAAGTGTTTAATTCGGATTGATGATAAAGTAATTAGCGGGTAATTTATTTTGCTTCAAAAGAATTTATTTAGGACGGCTTGCTAGTGGCGAAAAAAATCATCTATTCATTCAAGAAAAATTTTACTATTATTATTGCTTTTATTCAAGAAAAATAAAATGGCTAAACATCATATAACAAAGTTAAAACCCGAATTAAGTTATAGTTAGTTACAGGATTTTAATGTCACTATTAGAGTTGTTCTTAAAAATGTTCCATTAAAAAAATTACTTAAATTAAGATGAAATCCTGTCATGTTCATATTCATATATCAACAATGAAAACTATTTCTTTGTTTATATATCTGAAAAATGTATAGCTATCAGTTAATCCATCATTTGCATTCAAGTTCTATTATACATTATTGGTATTATGAATCATCGAAGAATCTGTAACAAATGAAAATTTTTGAAAAAAAATTAAACATTTTGAGTTTTACATAACCTATGCAAAAACTTAAATGTACATGTTATCAAATAATCAAACAAGCAAACAAATGTATGTACGTATGTATGTATGTATGTATGTATGTATGTATGTATGTATGTATGTATGTATGTATGTATGTATGTATGTATGTATGTATGTATGTATGTATGTATGTATGTATGTATGTATGTATGTATGTATGTATGTATGTATGTATGTATGTATGTATGTATGTATGTATGTATGTATGTATGTATGTATGTATGTATGTATGTATGTATGTATGTATGTATGTATGTATGTATGTATGTATGTATGTATGTATGTATGTATGTATGTATGTATGTATGTATGTATGTATGTATGTATGTATGTATGTATGTATGTATGTATGTATGTATGTATGTATGTATGTATGTATGTATGTATGTATGTATGTATGTATGTATGTATGTATGTATGTATGTATGTATATGTATATAAATATAAACACAAAAACTATACAGACTAGCGTTTCATAACAAAGTAGTGTACTATGTGTACTCTATGTACAGGCATCGGAATCATGTAGATGATGCGTCTATGTAAAAATTAACACCGTGTCGTTTGAGCTGCTTTCAAAATTTTCTTCTATCAAAAAACTTGTCAGCCATAGAGTACGTTGTTGCGAAATAAATTCGAAAAATAAAATATTTTAGTGAAAATTGTCAGTGTTGATATAATATTTGTTAAATAACTCCAGGCAAATAATTACTAAAATTATATTTGTTGAAAAAATGTTCGAAATAAAATCACAAAATTCAGATAAATATATGAAACAGATAAAGACGATTATAAATTAAAGAAGTAACCGGCGCATTTCAAGACATGAAAAAATGAATTGACGTTCAATACATGAAGGAAAGAAAATTATCTTCATTGTCAACAGCGTTTAACGATTATAAATAATAAGTAACTAAAGCTAATGTGAGTTTTTCATTCAATACAACATCATTGTCATTGTCAATGTAATCAACATGCTGAAAGTAACAAATAAACTTCACATTTATCAAACGGCTGTCCCATAATCCGACTTGTCAGCGAGGACCTTCTTCTCGTGATGATGATAATCAGCAGCTGATTTGGGCGAGAGGACGTTACTTCCTGCTGGCTTCTGCCTTGTGAAAGGAGAACGTTGAAATGGAGGACTCAAAATTTCGTGCAGTGAGGTTGAACTTGAGACTTCTGCTCTTTTGGAAAGGTTGCCACTCTTGTAAAGGTTTCTCTGAGCGTTACTTGTCAGGTTTGACGGCGCATTGGCGATTGGAGGTGATGCTGACGCTTGGCGGACGTCAGTGGTGCTCATGTGATG